CTACAGACAGGAACTAAGAATCAAGCATTAAGCCAGTGAGAGAAATCAGGAATTAATTTGAAAATATGACCCATACTACTAATCAAGTCAACTTAAGTGATGCTCACAGAACCCTGTACCTAATAACTAACTCACCAAAATGGACTGTGTGATATACAAGTCTCCAAACAGTCCTCTGCACTAACATAAGAAAACATGCCTGTCCTAAAAACGCACTTCATTAAAAGGGCAACTGAAAGGCATTTAATTCTAAATATTGCTTACACAATATATTTTTACATAATCCATGTGACAAAAAGAAAACAAATTACACGGAAAATTCCAAAGGAGTACACTGAAAGCATACAATACATGGGAGTCTGGAGAGAAACTTCATGGGGAAATTGATAGCTTTAAATGCTAGTGTTAGAAAAGAAAAGTTAAAACCCATGATAGATATTACACTCTACCTCATAAAATAAGAAAATAAAAAAGTACATTCAAAGCATAAAGAAGGAAATACTAGAAATTATCGCAGACGCAGCAACAACCAATCACAACTTCTCATACCTCTGTTACTGTTGGTTTCTCTGTTTGTTAGGTTTGTGTTTCCTGCTCCTATAAACTTAGCACCAAGCCAGAGACTGTTTCTGAAAGCAGAGTAGCAGATCCCAATGAACTGGAAGCTATGACTACAATTTGAACATCTGGGGAATTCATAAAGTAGCTCGAAGTTACTATGGTGATGGGAGTACTCATTGCTGACCACTGTAAGCAGCCTGGGCTTCTGCTGGAAATAATCTACCCAGAAACTGGGAGACTCCTTGGAGCCTCCCTTGGCCATCTCTGCCCACCAGTAGTGAGCAGGCCACTAAAGGAAACATGAGGGAGGGTAATGATAAAGGCTCCGACCGCTCAGTGACACCTGGATTGTCCCTTCTACCCAGAAGGGAACCCAAACGGGCCCACACGCTGTATGGAAGTAAGGAGAAAGAAGTGTGTATTCTGGAGGAATAAAAAGGTAAGTAGCACATAGGACCTCAAGAGCAGCAATGTCTTGCGCTTTTTGTGACTGTGTGTGTGTGTGTGTGTGTGTGTGTGTGTGTGTGTGTGTATGGGTTAAGTCTTAGTGGATGCCTTGGCTGGCTGCTACCAGGGAGAAACCTTTAGATAGATGGAACTTGAAGTTAAAATGAAGGCATGAGTGCTTCTGAAGGAGACGGGGACCCTGTTGATGGATTTTACTTGTCACACTTCATCATCCCCCAGCCCCATCTCCTGTTCAAGCACTGCAGCGAGATCCCAGAGCACGATTAGCCTTGCACAGTTCCTTGCTCTGCTCCTACGCTCACCCCTCCGTCTGTCCTGGGTTCTTGATGCCATGGCTTTGGGCTTCCTGTAGAAACAACTTTGTCATTCAAGTGCAGAAGTGTAGAGAAAGAAGGCCAATATAAATATCTCTGGGCAATGGGAGAAAGGCCCATAAATCACACCTTTTTTCAAAGCTGAGGGGAAACCCCATTGGTGAAATGCTTGCCGCCCAAGCCTAGCACCTAAGTGCCATCCTTAGTACCCATGTAGAAGTCAGGTGCAGAGGTGTGCACTTGTGATTTAAGCACTGGGAGGCATAGACGGGTACAGCCCTGGGCCTTGCTATCCAGCCAACTTAGCCTAATCAGTGAGCCCCAGCTTCCAGTGAGTGACCCTGCCACAAAAACAAGATAGACTCTTTCTGAGGAATAACACCTGAGGTTGACTTCTGACCTCCAACACACACACACACACACACAAAGAGAGAGAGAGAGAGAGAGAGAGAGAGAGAGAGAGAGAGAGAGAGAGAAAGAGGAGAAAGACAGAAAGTGAGATAAAGAGACAGAGATAGAGAGACAGAGACAGACAGAGAGCCTCCTTCCTGTCTCAGGTAAAAAGACCTAAGAGGCACGCTTTAAGCTTCAGAAGGTTCTGGGTGGTGGAACATGCAGCCATCAACTTAATAGAAGCCCTGTTCTGATGAACTGTCTCATTCTCTGGCTCCCTCCTCCTGCTCTTTGCTCTGGGTCTCATCCTAAATGAATTATTCTCATGTAATTTTTTTTTGTCCTTTCTTTGAGGAAAACCCAGTTGGGACACCAGTCTTCATACCAGAATGTTGATTCTTCCCTGGCCACACAGAGCTCTTCATGTCTTTTAGAAAGGATTGAACACAACTTGCAGCCCATGTATTTGTATAAGGCCACCCCTCTGGGGAGAATGAAGGCTGGCAGTTTTCCCTAGGGAAGACGTTCTTCTAACTTGACCCCATTGCTAATGGCCCCTTCTTGCCCACAGTCCCTTCTCTTTAGGAGTTCCATTTCTTTGAAACAAAAAGCCAAACACATAGCTTCTCTTTTCACATTAACTTTCCTAGGAAGGTGCCTGGTGATTAGCGAACTACGCTACCCTAAGATAATCCCTCAACCCTTCTGTTTCTCTCGTTTCTTTTCTTTGTTGTTACGCAGTCACGGAGCCATGCGCCCCTCTTTTTAAATGACAGACTATTTTCTTTGGCACAGCTCCAGAGAACAGCAACAGTTAAAGTCGCCGCTATGTGAAAGAGCTGTATTTGTTTAGAATTTACTCTGAGGGCCGTGAGAGCAAGCGACCTGGATTTTAGAAGCCGCCCCAGGAAATTCACAGGATTTTCTTTCCTGTCTTCTTGCCAGGAAGCTGGCTTCTCTTTGGCCAATGGTGAGTTGCAGTAAGGTCAAAATTTATGCTAGCCTAAGCTCTCAGCCACCTTGCTCTCTCCTTACCCTTATGTATATACAGCAAAAACAGAGACAGGAAAATGACAGCATTAGCTTAGGCTGCCACACAACAGATGGGACGAATAATCTTCCCAGATCTTTCTCAGAAGAATATATAACCAACAAAGAAAAGGGATTGACTTTGCACACACACACACACACACACATTCATCATACTTTCAAGAGCGATTCAATCTAGGTGAAGAAACAAAATGACCTTCAAAGGAATACTGTACTGACCCATAGAGGGCAAAAGAGAACAATGAAGCAGGAGGCTCAGAAGTGAACTTGAAGACCGACAGAGACATTTGAACAATGGGGAGCTCACATCATTTGGTGAGAAGTGGTGGTGTGTTTTCCAACTTAGAAAAGGTTAGAAATCTGGATTCCTTATTTCAGAAGGAACACAGGAGCGACAGTGACCTTGGGTTGGGAGACAGAGGTCAGAGATACCATTTGATCTACTTTTAGCTTCATTATCAAAATGAAAATGTTTGCGTAGCATGGCAAATAATGTTTTTTAAACATCTGTAAACATAGAGCATGCCTGGTGTTGGCTTTGTCCACTTAACTCTCAGTAATTCAGAAAAGCTGTCAGAGTTCAGAAGCACAGGGTTCAATTTGGCACTTGCCATGGGAACCTCTCTGAAATCTGCCTTCAGAATGCTCTGGTCCTCTGGTTGTAGAAGCTCCACTTCTTGTTCCCTTATTTTTTCTCATGAAACAGCTCTCTGTACTTACTTCCTAGACAGTAAATAACTTGGTTCTGCCGCATCGCTAGTCAATCCCTAAGGATCTGCTCCACAAATCACCTTCAAGGCTGTTTATTTTGCTTTATCTTCTCCAGGATACAGGGAATAACAGAAGTTGCTTTTGTTCAGGCTGACTTAACCATTCATTTATTTTCTTTTTGCTGCCTTCTAACTCACAAGATGGGTTGATAATTAATGTTTTACTCTAAAAACTTTTGCTTTGGTTTTTGAGACAAGGCCTATAGTTTAGGCTTATGCATCAAGGATAAATTTTAACTCCTCATCATTTGCCTCCATCTCCTAAGTGCTGGGGTGACAGGTGTGCACCACCATGCCCAGCTTTTGTAGTACTGGGAACTGACCTTGGGGCTCTGTGCATGCTAGCCAACAAGAAAATAAAGAGAAGAGGATAGAAGGAGGGAACGCAGGAAACAAGCAAGGAAGTGGGCAGGGGAAGAGTGGGGAAATTTTTCCAGGGTCTATTTTTTTAAATAATATTATAGAGAATGAAAATTAGTGAGCAAGTTTTTATTATTATTAACAAAGATCTCTTATGGAATTATATTGCAGTTTTACACAGCAAAAGCTATCACAATCTTTCTTACTTCATAAGTCCTTCCATATTCAAAAATAAAATCATATTTTTAGAGCATATGGTTGGTTAACTAAGTCCAACATTTATGAATCTACTGACAAATGTTGGTTCAACCGTTGTGCATTATATAGGCAGGATGGCTGTGTGAGAGAACTTTCCATTTTAGCTACAAGTCTAGGCATTTTGTACAGATGTAGCATTGCAACACTGATCTGTTGCCCAGTTGAGGACTATGACAGAGGGCACCTTCCTCTCAGCTCACCGTCAGAACATAGGCATTTTCTGAGTCTTGAGTGATGTGTCCTCTGCCTACAGCTTGCTTTCTTGGCTTTCACAGAGTATCTATCTATCTATCTATCTATCTATCTATCTATCTATCTATCTATCCATCCATCCATCCATCTATCTTATCTATCTTGTCTATCTATCTATCTATCCATCCATCCATCTATCTTATCTATCTTATCTATCTATCTATCTATCTATCTATCTATCTATCTATCTATCTATCTATCTAATCTATCTATCTTATCTATCTATCTACCTATCTATCATCTGTCTATCTATCTATCTATCTGTCTGTCTGTCTGTCTGTCTATCTATCCGTCTATCTATCTATCTATCTATCTATCTATCTATCTATCTATCTATCATCTGTCTGTCTGTCTATCCATCTATCTATCTATCTACCTATCTATCTATCTATCCATCTATCTGTCTATCTATCTATCTATCTATCTATCTATCTATCTATCTATCTATCGATCTATCTATCTACATTCTTCAGCTCCTACCACTCTTCCCTTTAGTTAATTTTTTCCCTTGTTTTTCATTGGTTTTTACATTTTTGGTGTTAGCAAAACAAAATAGAAAACCCAGAAATCTTACCATCCCCACCAAGGATAAATATAAGAACATTCCAGCAGTCACTGTTAAGATCCAGTCTTGGACACATGGATCAGCAGACACGGAGAGACCGATGTACAGTCCTATGAAGGCGGTCAGGGCACTTAGAAAGTTCATTAGGATGGCAGTCCTGATGGAGAGTCCCGAGCTTAAGAGTACAGCGAAGTCTCCTGGAGTTTGGGCAGGGAGGGGAAAGTCACCATCACTTATTTGAAGATGCTTTTGACAAATTAATGTACTACTAGTTGGTTCTGAATTGAGCAAACAGAACTGATTTGGAAAGTAAAGATGAATGATCAGTTAGTAAAACACAACCACATACACATCTGGGGCTTGCTGCCCAGTTGATTCGAGGCTCAAAATCAATGTATTTCTTTTCCTAAATACAGCCCTTCCAGAGAGGTCTGAGACACATTCTCCAGTCTCTGATACCCTGCAGCATTTTCAGCTCAGAAAAATGCAAAGTGAAGGTATCCTCTAGCCTGGAGTTTCTTAGTTCATTTCTGCTGTTGCTTTGGTCTGGATCCTTGCTGGGAGAATTGTGATGCTATACAGGCTTTTATGGCTTACTTACTTGGAGTGTAATGTAAGGAAAGAGAAAGACGGCTGAATTAGAGATTTTTAAATCCTTCAAATGTTGATTTGAGAACTGAGCCCTTTCTTTAGAAAACGCTTTTATGCAATAATCAGAGTCAGAGCATACCCGTCTTTCCATACCTCTGTGACAGAAGATGAACATTTTACCTGCAAATCTAGACGGTCTAGTATTCAGTCTCATCACCAAACAGAGGCTGAAACTGAGTAGAGATTACATGTGGTGTTCTATTCACGAATTCCATTGCATAACCGGTCCCAGAAATAGCTCACGATGGCACCATACTGGCCTGCTGCACACTGCTACATGGCCCCATGATTTGAGGTTGAAGGTCAAGTACCACACCACTAGTGCAGTAGCTTAACACATGGCCATGGCGTTTGAGTCCCAGAACAGCTCAATTTTGCTGGACTCAGAAAGGACCTTAGCTAAAGTGGGTCAGTAATAACTTGGTAATGGGACTTTGGGGAATGGTGGTTGATCACAAGAGGGCATAGCTGACCCATGGGACAATGCAAGCTTGAAATTGAAAGCAGAAAGAATGAGCCTGTCCTACTTTCTTCGTTCTTGCTCTGATTAAACACTCTGGCTGAAAACCTATGGGAGGAAAGGATTTATTTTGTATTATATTTTCATGCCATAGTACATCACTGAGGAAGTCAGAGCAGCAACTCAATCAAGACCTTGGAAGGATGCTGCTTGCTGACGCACTCCATTCATACTTAGCTAGTTTTCTTATACAGCTTAGGACCACCTTGTCAGGGAATGGTGCTGCCCACCATGGGCTAGGCTCTCCTAGCCCATCAATGAAGACAGTCCCTCATAGCCATGCCTACAGGACACCAACCTCCTCTAGCCAATCCCTCAATGTATGCACCTTTCTGAGGTGGCTCTAGGCTGTGTCAAAATGACAGTTAAAGGCTAATTGGGTAGAGGTCTCCCTCTCTATAGACCACCTATGTAAGCAGCACCCCCTCCACTAATTCTAGCCCTGTTTCTGAAATCTCTATTTTATTCAGTCTTGGTTTCTAGGGATTGGTGTACAAGGTTGGGTGCTAACTTTATATAATAAAAGTCCTCTGTGTATCTGATACCATATACCTGTTGCTTCAATTTTATGCTGAGCTTTAATTATTCTGTATTAATCAGGTTAACTCATGTTTTTATTTTAATTTGAATGATGTTTTATCTCACAGGCCCATTGTCTGACACAATGATTTCTCTCTTATCATGTTTACTATGACATGCAAGATTTTGTGAACTTTGCCAAAGTTCTTTAGAATGAGACTTCTCTGGATGACTCTCTTCTATACTGAATTAGCTAGATAGAATATGTGAGGCACAATTCTCGACCCTGGGAAAGAAGATAAGGAACCCTCTTAAGCTTTATCTAAAGGTCAATGCATTTGTTTGTCTAGTTGGTTGGTTTTTGTTTTGGTTTGATTTGCTTATGAATTAAATAAACTAAAAATTGAAAGTGATTGAAATATAATATTTCTCTGTTTTAAAGTCTAGAGAAGAAGCCAAGCAAACTATTGGTGGGGATACATGAGGACACCCTCAAGAAGCGGGAACACTTACCCATTTCATGTGGAATTTCATGACACAAAATAGCAATTGTTGTGGTTATTCCTGACTCCAATGAAGAGGAGAAGGCTGTCCCTATTACTAGGCCATCTGCAAAATTGTGCAGGCTGTCCCCAACCAGTATCATGATTGCCAATAAGCTGACAGTTTTGCCTAAAGAAGGAATGAGAAGTATTAATAAAGAGCTACAGATGTCACAGGTTCCTTCCCCTCCCAGCACCTTTCCCATTCGCCCTGACATTCTTACATTACACCTCATCAAACAGCCCTGTCATATTCAGAATTAAAGATAAACCAGAACCGGAAATGAAATGTGGTACCCAATAAACTCAAAATGATCACTATATTTTTTAACTGCTTTGACCAATCACAAAATAAATTATGTGTTGATATTTGGTTTCTTCATTTAATTGAATTAAGCTAGGATGATTTGGATGAGAATGAACCCCACAGGCTCATATGTTTGAATGTTTGGTCCCCAGTTGGTGAAATTCCCTGGTAAGGGTTGGAAGACATGACTCCTCTAGAGGAGGTTTCACTGGGGAAAGTCTTTGTTTTATTCTGGGTGCTCCCCTCTACCTTCTACTGTGATTTGAGATATGAGCTTTCTGCTGTTCCTGCCATCATGTTTTTCTTCCACCATCATGGACTCTAACACTCCGAAATCATAAGTACAACTAAATGTCTTCTTTTATAAGTTGTCTTGGTCATGGCATTTTATCGCAGGAATAAAAAAGTAACTAATGCACATGTCAAAGATGAACCTTAAAGCAGTGCTATGAACCCCTAAAATGCTTTCAGTGCCTTTCCTGCCATGGTCTTTGTAAGCATTCTAAGATAACCTAAGAACCCTGCTGCATGCACAATGCTGATGACCCTCACATGATTCATATGTTGGAACTTGACTTTCTGATGTGATGCTATGGGGAAGTAGAGCCTCAGGGAAGTTATTAGGTGTTGAGCTGGGGCTTCTGCTCTATCCTGCTTGCCATGTGAGGGCACAGTGAGAAAACACCATCAGTGAGCCAGAATGGGGGACCTTGCCTCTCCTTGACTTTGGCTTTTCATGTTACAGACATTGGAAAAGAAATTTTTATCATCTATAAATTACCCACATAAGGAAATGTGTTAGAGCACAGCACTGTTCGTGGACTGAGTCAACTCTCCCTGTGGGGTACCACTGGCGTGCTGATGAGCATCCAGAGCTGCTGCTCTGACCCTGACGCTCCTGCACCGGTCTGCTCAGTGTAATTCCTGTCATCATGAGATCACTGCACTGCCTGACCTGACTGTGATTAACGATCCTCCTAAACTGCCTTCTTTGCCCCCCCCCCCAACCGTGTCTGCAAACGGAATCACAATGAACTTTTCTGGCTCTCAAATTATCTTTTACTATTACTCACTGTACTGTCTTTTTGCAAAATAACTTTTAGTACCAGACCAGCTAAACACTGAACAAAATAAAGAGACGTTTTCTTTACACAGAGTTATGTTCTATTGTGCTCAATATCTGCTTAGTAGTTGTTAAAAATTATCATAATGGGCTTGCATTTTAACAGAAAAAAATTCTATTAAAAATTTCATAACTCAACCTAGTTACATATTTGAGCAACTTACCAAAAAGGTACTTTGAGAATAACACGTGTTCTGACAGTAAGCTCCCTGGGTTATTTTAGTCAATAAGAATAGACATTTACCAATAACCGCAGACTAAAGCTTTATTCCTCTGCTTCAAACATGCTGTGGAAGCGGTGTAAGCAGAAGCTGCTGCCACTTTCACTGATAATGTTTTCTGAATAAGTGGTGGAAGCAGGCAGAGGTTAGTGTCTCAGATATTGACCAATTGTGACCCAAGAATGAGAGGTCCTGCTGTATTTTGCAGTAGGACAGTGAGTGAGACGACACACTGTGATGAACAAAGTTCCTGTTTTCAAGCAGGAGATAGTTGCATTAACTGTGCTACAAAGATGGCCTATGTTCTTCCAAAAGCAATCTATAGATTCAATGCAATCCCCATCAAAATCCCATCAAAATTCTTCACAGATCTGGAGAAGACAATAATCAACTTTATATGGAAAAACAAAAAACCCAGGATAGCCAAAACAATCTTATACAATAAAGGAACGTCTGGAGGCATTACCATCCCTGACTTCAAACTCTATTACAGAGCTACAGTATTGAAAACAGCTTGGTATTGGCATAAAAACAGAGAAGTCGACCAATGGAATCGAATAGAAGACCCTGACTTTAACCCACAAACATATGAACACCTGATTTTCGATAAAGGAGCTAAAAGTATACAATGGAAAAAAGAGAGCATCTTCAACAAATTGTGCTGGCAAAACTGGATGTCAATCTGTAGAAGAATGAAAATAGACCCATATCTATCACCATGCACAAAACTCAAGTCCAAGTGGGTGAAAGACCTCAATATCAGTCCAAACACACTGAACCTGATTGAAGAGAAAGTGGGAAGTACTCTACAACACGTGGGCACAGGAGACCACTTCCTACGTATAACCCCAGCAGCACAGACAGTAAGGGCCTCATTGAATAAATGGGACCTCCTGAGACTGAGAAGCTTCTGTAAAGCAAAGGACACTGTTGCTAAGACAGAAAGGCAACCCACTGACTGGGAGAAGATCTTCACCAACCCCACAACTGACAAAGGTCTGATCTCCAAAATATATAAAGAACTCAAGAAACTAGACCGTAAAAGGCTAATCAACCCAATTATAAAATGGGGCACTGAGTTGAACAGAGATCTCTCAACAGAAGAAGTTCAAATGGCCAAAAGACACCTAAGGTCATGCTCAACTTCCTTAGCGATCAGGGAAATGCAAATCAAGACAACTTTAAGATACCATCTTACACCTGTCAGAATGGCGAAAATCAAAAACACCAATGATAGCCTTTGCTGGAGAGGTTGTGGAGAAAGGGGTACACTCATCCATTGCTGGTGGGAATGCAAACTTGTGCAACCACTCTGGAAAGCAGTGTGGAGGTTTCTCAGGAAATTTGGGATCAACCTACCCATGGACCCAGCAATACCACTCTTGGGAATATACCCAAGAGAGGCCTTATCATGCAACAAAAATATATGCTCTACTGTGTTCATAGCAGCATTGTTTGTAATAGCCAGAACCTGGAAACAACAAAGATGGCCTATGTAATTTACTTCTAAAGCTCATACATGTGTGTAAATATCAAGAATTGAATTAATGCATCAGGTTATATAGTTCAGTGGTAGAGTTCTTGTCTGGCTGTATGAGGGACTAGGTTTAATCTCCCATAGAAAAAGACGAGTATAGAACAAATTTTCACCTTTTTCAGGGTTTACTAACTTTTTTATCCTTTGTTAAAACTGGAGAAAGTTCAGTAAGTGATCATAAAGACACAGGATAAATACCAAATTTTAGGATTCAGGAGGTTCACTCCAACGCTGCCTGAAAGTTCTCAGTCTCTAACGACACTATGTCACTTCGATGCTCCTGCCAGTTTTCAACAACAAATTTCTTTTTAAAAAATAATTTAAAGTGATATATTAAGGTACAGCTGTCTGCAAATAAAGCCTTATGTCTTCCTTATGTCTACCTAAAGGTTTGATCCTAATAGAATGCATACAAATGCAAGATTTTCTGTGCTCTAACCCTTTCTAGAAAACTGTATGGCCTATTTTCATTGTCTATTACTTTATTGTCTCTGGTTACAGGTTTATAAATGTCACAATGTGGAAATGTAAGAAGACACAAGGCAAATAAACATTTGCGTGCAAACCACAGGCTACATACCAAGCGCCTATGCATATTTAGCAAGATCATTTATGCATTAAATGGAAGATAGCATTTGCTGATGGTTTAATATACTTGACACCAAAATGTAATATTTCACCTTTTTTCATGTTCCTGGCACAGAATCACACATGTCTGAACTATCTGAGATTTTCCACCCTGAAGCATGGGCTAGAACTAATCTGATTAGTGGTTTTGTTTATTTAAATCAGACTGTGGAGAGGATTTTCACATCCTGTCTTTTGAAAGAAAAGTTGAGCCCTACCAATGAGGCAATATGAAAGAACGGATCACAAAATCAAAACTAACTCAGTATTTTCCCGGCAAACAGCAGCTGAGTGTTTTAATTTGGATTTATTCGCTGTTCATTCGTATGTTACGCATGATATCTGCAGTGGGAGGATTATTTGCATGAAAAGGCTGTTGCTCCCTGGTGTGGTTTCCACATTCTGCTCCTAATTTGACTTGGCATATCTCCCCCCACCTTTTATTTCAAAAGTAAAACCAACAAAATCTGACATAGATCAGCTAGGTGCCAAATATTCCAAATTCATACTGGAACTAAAATTTATTCAAGGATTAAATAGTATTCTTGAGCTCTTGAAGAGATGGCTCTGCAGTTACAAATACTAGCTACTCTTCCAGAGGACCCAAGTTTGTTTCCCAGATCCTGTATGGTGGCTCATAACCATCTTTAACTCCAGGTCTAGGGGATCTGATACCCTCCTCTGACCACTAAGAGCACCTCCCTCATGAGGAACACAGACATACATGCAGAAAAATATTCACATATATAAAAAGTTAAAAATATATTTACAAAAGAATTAAACAACATCCTGGAAGCAGAATTGTAAAGAATATGAAATTACATATTTTAAATCAAATTAGTAAATTACAAGACAGTATAGCTAGAACAAAGCAAGTACTGTTATAGTAATATTGATAGTAGCAATACGTATTTATTCTTATTAGTATTTACATTCCAAGATACATGGCAAACTCCAGACAGTGAGCACATGCCTGTTCTATTCTCCAGTACATACACACAGCCTCAATCATGGCACAGCCTCAGACTATTTTGTCCATTGGGTGGTCACATTCAGGGCTATATACATGCTAAGAAAATGTTTCACCACTGAGCTGCAGCTTCAGCTCCCCAAAGTACATCTTGAATAAAAACTTGAGAGAATCCATCTATGTACGCATGAATGACCACAAGGAAATTTTGATTCAATAGCATTTTCTTTGCTCGTGGATGCGAGAGCCTCACTAGCTGTGTAACCTCTCCAACAACTGGTTTCTTCATTTGTATAACTTAGGAATACTTACTCTTAACTTCATTGTGCTAGGGGAGAATCAAGTGAAGTAATCCATACTAAAAGTTTACCACAGTACCTGGCATATAAGAAGGGTTTCATGATAACTTTTATACTTGCTCACCTAATTTACTATGGTGGAATTGGACTAGCTAGTTATGACTAGCGAGCATTCAAACATCATGACACTTTTGTTACAGAAAAGAACAGGTATAAAAGCAACTGATGAAAATCACAAAAACACAAACTTCAATTATCCATAAACTAAGGAAAGAAAAATGAACTTATAAAGTACACAACTGAAATTCAGAAATAATAGAGAAAAATCAAGCATGATGGCTCATGACTGTATGCCCAGAACTTGGAAGGCCAAGGCAGGAGGGTTGTCACAAGCGACAGGTCAACCAGCCTACATAAAGTGTTCCAGGACAGGTCAAACGGCCTACATAAAGAGTTCCAGGACAGTTTGGCTAGTGGTGAGACCCCATCTCACATAAAAATCTTTCTTCCAATAATAGAAATTAGTTGACTGGGGAAATCATAGAAATAAACATTGATAGTTAACTATCAGGCAAATAAATAAGATGTGCACAAAGCCACTGACTGGGATGCTGACATTTCATTGACAGTGCAACAAATGAGACGAATCATGAGAGAAAATAAAAATGTAACTCTGCCTCCAAAAGTAATAGTGAATGAAAGGTCTGGAAGACCATCGAAGCCTGATTTTCGAAGAACCATAGAAAATAAAAATGCATATATACTAATTGAAGATTTCAGAAAGTGACATTAAATAATTGAAGAAATCCAATTGTAAAGAATGGAATAAAGTTAATATTGGCGTGTGGTATTCTTAAAAGGCAGACAAGAATGGATATTTGCCAAGATCTTATTGCAAGCCTTTTCATCGTGACATAGAGATGCACTATTCAATCATGTTGGCTTTGACATATTTGTTTAAAAACAGATAGAACTTTCTGTGTCACTTTTTATATTTAAATTTTAACTGTAAAATTGAGACTCACGTTTTCTGTTGGAGGTTGGCACATCACCAATGGGTAGCTCAGCTGTCTGTGAATCTTCTGGGCCTTTCTATGTCAGATTAAAATATAATTAATGAAAAGTGAGTAACTGTCACATTTGGTGGGAACCTGAAACATCTAAAGAGTTACACTGACATTTGGAAGATATTTTGCTACTCCAGCTACATACTACAACTGCCACCTCACATATACAATATACAAAGGAGAACAAAGTCTATGAGGAGTACATATTCTTTGTAGTACCAATGGGTAGGGGAAAACCGTATCCTTCACAGAGCTAGCCTTCTGAGCTAGCCTGTAATTCATTCAAACCCTTTAAGTTACATAAGCCTTTACTAAAGACAAAGGTTTAGAAAATGGTCCTTGACCTAATTTGGCACATCTCCTGAAGGCTGTCCTTGAATTCATCTCTCAGTCCATAAGTGGATGGTGTGCTTTGGCTAGAAGAGAAAAACTCAAACAAACCCAATGCCTTATGTTATTCATTCTCTCTCTCTCTCTCTCTCTCTCTCTCTCTCTCTCTCTCTCTCTCTCTTTCTCTCTCTTTATTTTTTACTTTTTTATTCATTTTACATACCAACCACAGTTTCCCCCTCAAGACTCAATCTACCTCAAGACCAGCAATATCACAATATCACTCTTTACCCAAAGTATGCACACTCATGCCACAAGGACATTTGCTCAAATGTGTTCATAGCCTCTTTATTCATGATAGCCAAAACCTGGAAACAACCTAGATGCCCCTCAATCAAAGAATGGATAAAGAAAATGTGGTACATTTCACAATGAAGTACTACTCAGCAGTAGAATACAATGACATCTTAAAAATTGAGGGCAAATGGAATGAAATAGGAAAAACCATCCTGAGGGAGGTAACCCAGACCAAGAAAGACAAAGTAAAAAGCTATGTACTCACTCAAAAGTGGGTATTAGACACAAAGCAAAGAATAACCAGCCTATAGTCAATGACCCCAGAGAAGCCAGGTAACAAGGAGAACCCTAAGAAAGGCACGCATAGATCCCCCTGAGAAGGGGAAATAGACAAGATCTCCTGAGAAAATTGGGAGTTGATAATGTTGAGAGAGGGAAGAGGAGATCATGAGGGAAAGGAATGGCTGAGATTAGGGGAGGACAAAGAGGGAGAGCAAAAAAAAAAAGATAACTTGATTGAGGGAGCCATTATAGGGTTAGTAAGAAACCTGGCACCAGGGAAATTCCCAAGAATCCACAAGCATGGCCCCAGCTAAGACCCTAAGCAATAGTGGAGAGGGTGCCTGAAATGGCCTTACCCTGTAATCAGATTGATGACCACCTTAATTGTCATCATAGAGCCTTCGTCTAGCAACTGATAGAAACAGATATAGAGATCCACAGCTAAGCGCTAGGCAGAGTGTCCAGAGTCCAGTCGAAGAGAGGGAGGAGTGACATATGAGCAAAGAGGTCAAGACTACCATGGGGATACCCACAGAAACAACTGACCTGGGCTGGTGGGAGCTCACTGACTTTGGACTGACGGTGGGGAACCCTGCATAGGACCAAACTAGGCCCTCTGAATGTAGCTGGGGCAGTCTGTGGGACCATGGGAAGTAGTACCAAGATTTATCCCTCGTGCTTGAACCGGCTTTTTGGAGCCCATTCTCTTTGCCTGGATACTTTCTCGGCCTAGACATAGCAGAGAGGGCTTTGGTCCTGCCTCAAAGTGATGTGTCAGACATTGTTGGCTCCCATGGGAAGCCTTACCCTCTCTGAGGAGTTGATAGGGGGTGGAGTCGGGGGAAGGTGGAGGATCAGGAGGAGGGAAGGGAGTGGGAACTGGGATTGGTATGTAAAATGAGAAAAGATTGTTTTAAAAATAAAATTTTAAAAAAATTGTTCAGTTTATTTACCAACCACAGTTCCACTCTCCCTCCCCTCATCCCATTCCTCTCTGCCTTTCCCCACCCCCACCCACTCCTCAGAGAAGGTAAGGACTCCCTTGCGGAGTCTACAAAGCCTGGCATATCAAGTTAAGACAGGACAAGCTCCCCCCCCCCCCCCTTGTATCAAGGCTAATCACGGAATTCTACCATAGGGAATGGGCTCAAAAAGACAGTTCATAAACCAGGCATAAATTCTGGCCCCACTGCCAGGGGTCCCACAAACAGACCACACCACATAACTGTTACCCACATTCAGAGGGCCTAGTTCAGTTCCAAACAGGCTCCCCAGCTGTCAGTCCAGAGTTCATGAGCTTCCACTAGTTCAGGTCAGCAGTCTCTGTGAGTGAGTTTCCCCATCGTGATTTTTACAACCCTTGCTCATCTAATTCCTCTTCCCTCTCCTCAACTGTACTCTAGGAGTTCAGCCCAGTGCTTGGCTGTGGATCTCTGCATCCGCTTTTATCAGTTACTGGATGGAAATTCTATGATGACAATTAGGGTAGTCACCAATATGATAGCAGGGGATGGTCAGTTCAGGCATCCTCTCCACCATTGCTTAGGGTCTTAACTGGGGTCATCCTTGTGGATTCCTGGGAGCTTCCCTAGTGCCAGGTTTTTCACTAACCTCATAATAGCTCCCTCAGTCAAGATATTTCTTTCATAGCTCTCCCTCTTCATCCCTCCCCCAACTCAACCATCCTGTTCACTCATGTTCTTATCCCCCTTCCCCAATCCTCTCCCCCGCTCAATTTACCCAGGAGATCTTACCTATTTTCCCTTCCTAGCCCCCCCCCCCATGTATGTTCCTCTTAGGATCCTCCTTGTTACCTAGCCTCTTTGGAACTATGGGTTGTAGTGTTGCTTTACATCTAGTATCCACTTAAGAGTAAGTACATACCATGTTTGTCTTTCTGGGTCTGGGTTACCTCCCTCAGGATGATTTTTCTTTAGTTCCATCCATTTGCCTGTAAATGTTATAATGCGATTTTTTTTTCAACTGAGTTATACTCCATTGTGTAGATGTACCACATTTTCATTATCCATTATTCAGGTGAGGGGCATCTAGTTTTATTCCAGGTTCTGGCTATTATAAATAATGCTGCTATAAACATAGTTGAGCAAGTGTCCTTGTGGTATGATTAAGAAACCTTTGGATATAAGCCCAAGAGTGGTATTACTGGGTCTTGAGGTAGACTGATTTTCAATTTTCTGAGAAAATACCATACTGATTTCCAAAGGGACTGTCCAAGTTTGCAATCCAACCAGCAGTGGAGGAGTGTACCTCTTACTCCACATCCTCTCCAACATGGAGTGTCATCAGTGTTTTTGATCTTAGCCATTCTGATAGGTAAAAGATGGTATCTCAAAGTCATTTTGATTTGCATTTGCTTGATGACTAAGGATGTTGAGCAAAGTGTTTTTCAGCCATTAGAGATTCCTTTGTTGAGAATTCTCTGTTTGGATCTCTACCTCATTTTTAAATTAAATTATTTTGTATTTTGATATTTAGTTCTGGAGTTCTTTATATATTTTGGAGATCAGCCATCTGTCGGATTTGGGGTTGGTAAAGATCCTTTCCCATTCTTTAATCTGCTATTTTTGTCTTATTTACTGTGTCCTTAGCCTTACAGCTTTTCAGTTGCAGGAGTTCCCATTTATTAATTGTTACTCTCAGTGTCCATGCTACTGGTGCTATATTTAGGAAGTGGTCTTCTGTTCCAATACATTCAAGGCTACTTCCAACTTTCTCTTCTATTAGGTTCAGTGTAATTGAATTTGAGGTTTTGATTTATGTTGAGGTTTTGATTCACCTGGACTTGAGTTTTGTGCACGGCAATAAGTGTGTATCTATTTGCATTCTTCCACACGTCGACACTCAGTTATGCCAGCACCATTTGTTGAAGATGTTTTCTTTTTTCCATTGTGCAATTTTGGCTTCTTTTTCAAAAAACAGGTGTTAATGGATTGTGGAATAATGTGATGGTCTTCAATTTGATTCCATTGATCCATGTACCTGTTTTTATGCCAGAACAAACTGTTTTTACTACTATAGCTAAATAGTAGAGTTTGAAGTTAGAGATTGTTTCTTTACTGTACAGGATTGTTTTGGCTATCTTGTGTTTTGTTTTCCCATATGAAGTTGATTATTATTCTTTTGAGATCTGTGAAATTGTGTTGGTATTTTGAAATGGATTACATTGAATCTGTAGACTATTTTAGGTAAGACTGCCATTTTTATTATGTTGATCCTACCTAACCAAGAGCGTAGGAGATATTTCTGTTCTCCATCTTCTTCAATTTATTTCTTCAAGGACTTAAGGTTCTTGTCATACAGGTCTTTCATTGTTTGGCCAGAATTACCCTAGGGTGTTTTATAACACTGGTGAGTATTATGAGGGGTGATGTTCTTCTGATTTCTTTCTCAGGCAATTTATCACTTGTATATAGGAGGGATGCTGATTTTTTGAGCTGATCTTATATCCTGTCACATTAATGAAGGTGTTTATCCACTGTAGGAGTTCCCTAGCAGAATTTTTGAGTCACTTATGTATACTATCATATTATCTGCAAATACGAAAGTTTGTCTTCTTCCTTTCTGATTTGGATCCCATTGATCTCCTTTTGTTGTTTGATTGCTCTAGCTAGAACTTCAAGTATTATATTGAATAGCTATGTAGACCAGACTGGCCTTGAACTCAAGGAGATCCACCTGCTTCTACCTCTCCAGTGCTAGGTGTGCACCACAATGACCAGCTTTAAAATAATTTTATTTTATTCATTCATTCATTTGTTCATTCATTTTATATCCCAACCCAGCCTCCCCTTTGCTTCTTTACTCTCACTCCTCCCTCCCTCCTCCTCTCTCCCCATCCACTCCATACTTACTCAGAAAGGGGCAGTCCTCCCCTGTGCATCAGTAAAGCATGACCTATCAAGCTGCCATAAGGACCAGCACCTCTCCATGTATTCAGTCGGGGCAAGGCAATCCAGCATGAGGACAAGATTCCCAAGAGCCAGCCAAAACACCAGGGACTTTCCCTGCTCCAATTACCAGGAGTTCCACAAATAGACCAAGCTACACAGCTGTCTACACAATCGCAGAGGGAATTAAAATGGTTTTTAAGGGAACTCTTTTATTTTCTTATCATTGAGTTCACATTAGATCTGCAGCCTCCTGCTGCATTTTTCATGCTGTGTGTCTGTTACACATGTTGTAACATCTCTTTCCTTAGGGCTTCTCCTTCAGCGTCAACCCCATATGAAAGTCATGTTCACAAGTTTACACTTGTGTGCTATTTCCCATTTGGTCTGTCCCTACATGCTTTGTTTAAGAACTAGAAATGGTAATATTTTTTTTACCTGATTGGAATTTTATTTTAAAAATTAATATGGAAAATGCTGTGAGAAATCCATTTGCATCAAAGGTAGTTACTATGGCACACAGCACTAGAAAAAATTGGTTCTCTCCTGGATTATAAAATTAGAAATTAAAACATTCTCAACCTAGACAGACTAACAAATCCCTTGCCCATCATTTATTTGTATTAAACAAGAAATAACTGAGGGTTAAACAAAATGGAAAACCCATAGGGCAACTGGCTTGTGAAAACAAATAACTGAAATGATGGAAATTATTATGTCCGTCTGATCCCTGGGCTTTAACAATGCAGACAATGGTGACTTAAATCTGTCTATAATGTGTTTTGTACAAAAAGGAAAGAAGTAAGGAAGGAAAGGGGGAAGGAAAGAAAAGGAAAGGAACGAAAAAGAAAAGAAAGGAAAGGAAAAACAGATTTGAGGTGCTTGACAAACTTTTCCAGTGTTTCTCGTGGTCAAGCGCAGGCAAATTGGGATTAAGTCCTCCTCATTCCCCCCCACTGAGAGTCCTCTGTGCATGGAAGAGTAAAGTAAAAGCAGCTGAGACTGTAGACCACTTTAGACCTGAGACCTACCAGCTGGATGGTCGATATAGACTTGCCTCCACTTGACGGGTCATTTAATTCAGGGTTGAGTGCAAGATGGTGGGCATGCCCCACATGTCCATTAACCAACGGCAGGCCCTGCAGGATGGGTACAGTGCAAAAGTAGTCAGAATCCAGAAACATACATACATAGACTTTTCCAGCTCCATGCTCTATTCATTATTTTGTTTATCAAAGATTTGGAAAGAATTTTTTCCCAGTACTGGGACTGAATCTTGATTCTTGCACATGTTGGGTAAACACATTAACCCCAAACCGATTGCCATTTTTAAATTTTTGTATCTTTAAATTAATTAGAGAGTGAATTAATTTAGTTAGTTATAGAAATCTGAAACTGGCTTTGAACTCTACAGCTGAGGATGACCTTGAACTGATCCTCGATCCTCCAGTCTCCAAGTGCTGGGGCTGCAGGCCTGTACCATCATGCCCACTTTATCTACGCTGATGCTTAGACTCTCAGAGCTTTGCAAGTGCTTTAAGCTGAACTACATCCCTAGTCCCCTTTTTTATTTATTTGTTCGTATTTTGAGAAAGAGTATTGTTCTGCAGCCCAGGCTGGCTTTGAAACATCCTTTTGGTGAACCTCTCCAGTACCTGGGATGAAAGGCAGGCACTACAATGTACTGCTTACTTTTAAGTTATTTGAGTATTTATGAAATCAATATGAATATAATAAAGCTTCAAACAGAGGATAAAGGAGACATATACCTTGGTATTTGGTGACACAAGGAGGAGAAAACATTTTTCTATCAAGAAAAACCCATGGATGCCTCCAAGCAATCCCAACAGTTTCCAAATAGGACCTTGGCTTTCATGGAAATGTCCAATATCTAGGGCTTCCTTCTTATGTAAACCAAGAACCTTAAAAAAAAAAAAAAAGAAAAAGAAAATTGAGAGAAGATTCAGGCCAGGAAAGCAGGTAGGCTAACAGCAGAGCTTCATCTCTCTACTCCTCCAAATCTAACCCCCAGCCTTATCCACAGCTTCATGGCAGGGCATTTATGGCCTCACTTTCCCCCCTGTCCCAATCTCCAATGGGTCACACAGATCTCCTACTCCAAATTTCCCTCTCCTACTCATTATTTTATCATAGCCCCCAACTCCAGCACACAGTACCTGGGAACCCACAGCTGCTCCAGCCAGGGAAGCAGTTAGACTAACTGTACACCTCCATTCTCTCCCCATTCCTCCAAATTCAACCCTCCTTCTTCACCCCCAGCTTTGTAATAGACCTCATGCCGTATCCTTATGGCTCTCCCTGCCGCCATCTTCACCTGAACACACAGATCTCTTCCTCCAATGTTTCTTCATTCCAGTTATCACTTTATCCCAGTCCTTGCTCCAGCCAGGAAAGCAGGCAACCTAACTGCAGCTCTTCATGGTTTCATCCTCTCCTCCAAACCCAATGCCCTAGACTCTTAATTTCATTGCCACCTCTGTAGCCAACCATCTGCTGTCCCTCCTCTCGCTGATAAATCATCTTTTCCTCTAACCTTCCTCACCACTCGTTCTGTCATTCCAGCCCCGACTCCAGCAGGCTTTCTCTAGGAATCCACCAGCCAAACGTACCAAAGAGTCAGGTAGGCAAGATTCAGATCTTATGTCCCATCTTCTCCTTCATATCCAATCCCCCACCTCATCTTCAGATCCTTAGCTGTTTTTAGCATCTCCTCAATTACTCTCTATCCCCATTGCCAGGGGACTAAGCAAATCCTGGTGAAATATCCTGCCTTTCTCCTTTGGATCCCCCTAGTTCCCTGTCCAAGTATTGTCTCCTAATATACATTTTACCAAGATTCCACAGAAGCCACACATGTCATATCCCAGAAGGATTTCTTACTGGGCAACATACAGCACCACAATTTAAAAACAAGAGAGGGCAACAGAAACTAAGGAACAAAATACTCAACCAACAAAAACCAGCTATCAGTACCTAGAATTACAGTCTTCAAAATCCAGATGTCTAGATACCAAGAAAAACTCTAAAACACTCAGACAGCCACTGCAAGGATTGGGCCAAGATGTAAAGACACTGCTGGCCCCGTTTGAAGGAAGAGATGGGTAGGCACCAATTCAAGAATTCCTCCAACAACCTAAAAAGCAACATGGTGACACCAGAACCCAGTGGTCACACAACAGGAAGAGTTGATCATCCTAACCCAGAAGAAGTAAAAGAAAACAACTTTAAACGTAACTTTATGAAAATTATGAAGACCTTTAAAGAAGAAATGAAAAACTCCCTTAAAGAAATGGAGAAAAAGGCTCTCTGCTCCTCCCTGTTCTAGAGACAGCCACTTATTTTTGTGCAGTGCTAGCCTCTTTCCAAAGACATGATGGTGAAGGTCGGAGTGAACGGATTTGGCCGTATTGGATGCCCGGTTACCAGGGCTGCCTTCACTTCTGGCAAAGTGGATGTTGTTGCCATCAATGACCCTTTCATTGACCTCAACTACATGGTCTACATGTTCCAGTATGACTCCACCCATGGCAAGTATAAAGGCACAGTTAAGGCTGAGAATGGGAAGCTTGTCATCAACGGGAAGGCCATCACCATCTTCCAGGAGCGAGATCCCGCCAACATCAAATGGGGGGATGCCGGCGCCGAGTATGTTGTGGAGTCTACCGGTGTCTTCACCACCATGGAGAAGGCTGGGGCCCACTTGAAGGGTGGGGCCAAGAGGGTCATCATCTCAGCCCCTTCTGCCGATGCCCCCATGTTTGTGATGGGTGTGAACCATGACAAATATGACAATTCCCTCAAGGTTGTCAGCAATGCTTCCTGCACCACCAACTGCTTAGCCCCCTTGGGCAAGGTCATCCATGACAACTTTGGCATCGTGGAAGGACTCATGACCACAGTCCATGCCATCACGGCCACCCAGAAGACTGTGGACGGCCCCTCTGGGAAGCTGTGGCGAGACGGCCGTGGCGCTGCCCAGAACATCATCCCTGCGTCCACTGGCGCTGCCAAGGCTGTGGGCAAAGTCATCCCAGAGCTGAACGGGAAGCTCACGGGCATGGCCTTCCGCGTTCCTACCCCCAATGTGTCCGTCGTCGATCTGACATGCCGCCTGGAGAAAGCTGCCAAGTATGAAGACATCAAGAAGGTGGTGAAGCAGGCATCCGAAGGCCCACTAAAGGGCATCCTGTGCTACACTGAGGACCAGGTCGTCTCCTGTGACTTTAACAGTGACTCCCACTCTTTCACCTTCGATGCTGGGGCTGGCACTGCTCTCAATGACAACTTTGTAAAGCTCATTTCCTGGTACGACAATGAATTCGGCTACCGCAACAGAGTGGTGGACCTCATGGCCTACATGGCCTCCAAGGAGTAAGAAGCCCGCCCTGGACCACCCATCCCAGCAAGGACACAGCAAGAGAGAGGTCCTCGGCTGCTGAGCAGTCCCTGTCCTAACTAACCCTTGACACTGAGCATCTCCCTCACAGTTTCCATCCCAGACCCCCAGAATAACAGGAGGGGGCTTAGGGAACCCTACTCTCTTGAATACTATCAATAAAATTCATTGCACCACTCTTCAAAAAAAAGAAGTGGAGGAAAAGACAAACAAAAAATTGAAGAAATTAATAAATCTCTCAAAGAAACCGAGAAAACTAAGAAGAAGAAAAAAAAAACAATCAAACAGGTGAAGCAAACAGTTCAAGACTTGAAGACTGAAATAGAAATAATAAAGCAAACACAAACCAAGGCAATTCTAGATATGGAAACTCTGAGTAAATGAACAGGAACTACAGAGACAAGTATAACCAACAGAATACAAGAGATAAAAGAAAGAATCTCAGGTGATGAAGATACTATAGAGGAAATAGACTCATTAAATCAAAGAAAACATTAAATTCAACAAATTCTTAACACAAAACATTCAGGAAATCTGTAAATACAAAACCTAGGCCAGGCGATGATGGCGCATGCCTTTAATCCCAGAACTTGGGAGGCAGAGGCAGGCGGATCTTTGTGAGTTCAAGACCAGCCTGGTCTACAGAGCTAGTTCCAGGACAGGCTCCAAAGCCACAGAGAAACCCTGTCTCGAAAAACCAAAAAAA